TGTTGTGATCTGTGAGTAAGGTAAACGGTTGTCCATACAAGTAAGGTTGCAGCTTTTTGAGGGCCCACACCACCGCTATGCACTCCTTTTTAATGGCAGTGAATATACTTCGCTGTGCAAAAGTTTACGGCTTAGATAAGCCCCGGGTTGCTAGCCACCATCTGCTCCGACTTGGCTCAATACTGCTCCCAATCAAAGCATAGAAGCGTCTGTATGGCCGAGAAAGTGTTTAGTTGGATCAGGAGAAGAAAGTACAGGTGATTTAATGAGCGCCGTCTTGAGCTGTTGGAAGGCCTGTTCACATTCTGGGGCCCATACTACTATCTTGGGGAGGTTTTTACACGTTCCTATATGGCACTTACTGGGCTTTGGGGTCAGTCCGGACTCCCTAATCCGGTCTATTACGGCTCCTATGTGGGTCAGGTGTTCGGGCCAGGAGCTGCTAAAAATGTCTATACCATCCAAGTAGGTGTGTATCAGTGTGTATAGGGATCCTTAGGACAGGTGTCAATCCATATCTGCCAAGTGACCCTATGTTGGGGTAACATTCCCTATTCTGATCTGTGTCAGTGTGTATCAGGGGCTCTGAGGACAGGTGTCAATCCATATCTGCCAAGTGACCCGATGTTGGGGTAACATTCCCTATTCTGCTCTGTGTCAGTGTGTGTATCAGGACCACTGATAGGAGACGCGGAAGGTATTAAACTGATCAGAACAATACTAAACACACCACAAATAAGGTTTCTCTCCTGTATGGCTCCTCAAATGATGCTTAAGATTAGAAGCGGCTGAAAAGCATTTCTCACACTCCGAACAAAAATATTTTTTTTTAACATTCTCTCCACTTTGAACGAAATGACGTTTGGGAAGAGATTAACATAATTAAACACAGGCAGTAAAAATACAGTTTTTAGCCATACCCTGTAACTTTAAAACTACACATCCCATCTTCATAATTACATATTTGGAATCAGCACACTTAAAACATAAACATAACCAAAAATCAGCCAAATCCATCCAGGGGTTAAAAAGTTAGCTGGAGGTCCCTTTATGACCGACTGCAAGCACATTTTCCTGCCCAAAACAGTTCCATAGATTTGGGCTGTGAGGTCGGTCTATTTCAGGCTGAAAAAACGACTAAGTCCCATCGCGAATGGGACTTAGTCTCTGCAGCTGAAATAAGGCTGAAAAAAACGGCTGAAAAAAAGACTAAGTCCCATCGCCGAATGGGACTTAGTCTCTGCAGCTGAAATAATTTCCCATTTACTGAACCAAGTGGGAAATAGCAAGGCAGGCACAAAGGGTTTGCACCAGGTCTGGGGACACAGGGGACACCGTCTTAAAGGGGCCGTGTCCCCAACAAGTCTGGGGACACGGCCTTAAAGGGGCAGTGTCCCAATCTTCCTGATGTCCCAAAAAAGGTGTTTAAAGGGCCAGCACCAGTCACATAAAGAGTCCATAAGCCCCAATATGCCCACCGACAGTCTTAAAGGGCCATACACACCAAATAAAAGTGCATACATTTTCACAATCTCCCAGGGGCCATAGTCATGCGGGAGGAGGCTGGCAAAGAGGCTTCTCCACAACCCAGGGAAACAGGGCAATTTGCCATTTAAAGGGCCGTTACAAATAGCAGTTTGTAACAAGGTGTCAATCCATATCTGCCAAGTGACCCGATGTAGGGGGAACAGTCCCTATTCTGCTCTGTGTCAGTGTGTATCAGGGATCCTTAGGACAGGTGTCAATCCATATCTGCCAAGTGACCCTATGTAGGGGGACCAGTCTCTATTCTGCTCTGTGTCCGTGTGCATCAGGGGCTCTGAGGACAGGTGTCAATCCATATGTCAAGGTGTCAATATGTCATATGTCAGGTGTCAATCCATATTGATTGTGATTTAGGAATGTTAGGTGATTTCTGCCCTTTATGGATTAAAACCAGACTCTGTATCAACTGTGTAATTTTCCATGGGAGTTTTGCCATGGATCCCCCTCCGGCATGCCACAGTCCAGGTGTTAGTCCCCTTGAAACAACTTTTCCATCCCTATTGTGGCCAGAAAGAGTCCCTGTGTGTTTTAAAATTCGCCTCCCCATTGAAGTCAATGGCGTTTCGGGCGGTTCGCCGGTTCGCGAACATTTGCGGAAGTTCGCGTTCGCCGTTCGCGAACCGAAAATTTCGGGTTCGCGACATCGCTAGTGTCAGATCAATGAGTCTGTGTCTGTCAGTGACGTCTGTGTGTTTGTCATTGAGTGTGTGACTGTCAGTGTGTACAGAGTGTAGTGGAGCAGAGCGCGGTACAGGAGCTTCTGTTTCCTGTACCTGGCCAGACTGACAGGAGGTGCTCACAGAGAGAGCACTCCCTGTCAGTCCGTCCGGGTACAGAAAACTGAAGCTCCTTTAGGGGATCTGCTCCGCTCGGCAATGCAACAATAGAGGTAGGAGGCACACACCAGGAAGTGTGACCACTAAAGGGGTGGGGGGTGCACCAAGGGACAGGGAGGGAATGGGAGAGAAACACCAAGAGACAGGGAAAAAAGGGGGGAGGGGGAAAGGGGGGAGGGGAGAAGAACACTAAGGGACAGGGAACGGAAGGGACCACTAATGGTCGAGAGGAGGGGAGAGGGGCTGGTTAAGAGGCACATAGGTGAAGATTTTGGGGGGGGGGGCGGAAAAATGCATCTTCGCCTATGTACCTAAAAATCCAAGCACCGGCCCTGGTCATGTGATTGCGATGCCATTGCGATCACATGATGCAGATGGGTGGGATTGACTGCACAGGGGATATAGGGGGATTCTTTGGTTTGGTTTTGAGCTCACGAGTAATGGGCAATAACTACCACTAAGGCATTAACTAGTCTAGGTGGGAGTAGGGAATATTGCTCATAGTTTATTTTAGAAACTACTGCAATAAATTGCATTTAAAGTATGTTCCTACTCATTTTATAGCATTGCCGTTGGCGTTTGTGATTAATAAATGCGCTCGGTAGGCTTTCGGGCAATTATAGGTGCCTTTTTTCTAAACAGTTAGCTGGGTTAAGATGACCATTGACTTGCAACATATATTGAATGAACACTCTGACCATTAAGAACCATGACCACTACAGCAACTTGTACTGGCCATGATTCATCACCTGTCTTGCATAGTTTGTGTAAAACCATTTTTGAAGCTGTCTGACCACAGCCAGGACTTCCTCTCCTTTCCACCTATCCATATCTGATTATCAGAATATACTTTGTTTATTTTTTTAAAGCCTACTGATATTATAGTAATTTTTTTATAAACATACTTTAATAGTGTTACTCCATTTACAACTGGACCTTTGCCTGCAATAATATGCTATAAATGCTGTTCGTAGGATAGTCCAGTGCTTTCAGCCTAACGTTGAACAGCTAAAACATTAGTTTGCTTTCACATTTGCAAAGCAAAAGGTAAAGGATCAAGCTGTAGGTCAAATAGTGGTTTGTCACAATGTCCATAGACCCTTTGCACCTTAACCACTACAATGAGCATTAGTGGTTATGGTGTCTAGAATGTCTTTCTAATCAATCAGATTAAAAACCAAGTAATTGAGTGAAGATATTTTCTTCTTTTTTTTTTCTTTTTTTTTTTTTTATATTTGGTTAGGGATCATCCCGAAACTAATTTTGTAATCTGTAATCATTTTTGGAAGAAAATGGCTGATGGACAAATGCAAATTGGGATATGTTATTTGCATCATATTATCATCAGGTTTAAATATAACAATTATGTTAATTTATAGCACTGCTTATTTCATAATGAGTTGGTTTTTTTTGGGGTGGTTTATTTTTTATTGCAAATTGTTCTTGTAACTTTGATAAATGCACAATAGGAAGGCTGCACCATAAACACAACAGCTTGATAATCTAAAAGTGCAGCATAAACTGCAGAAAATGCCATTCATTGCAGGCGAGAGCCCAAATCAAGATAAAGATCCACTTACAGTGATACTTCCATAATCCCATAACGCCGCAGAATAAGAATGACAGACATTTTAGCGAGGATGACAAATGCAGCATGTGAAACAGGAGATGTGTTTATCATAGAATAGAAAAGTTGTAATATTAAACACAAGGTCTTTTCTGTTGTGCCAGGGCCACATTACCGAACAGCCTAGAGATAAGAGGACAAGAAGTGAGGGACTGTGCACAGATAAGCTCAGGAGCATGCATGGTTGACAGCCAAACTTCGTAGCAGGGAGTTGATTTGCAGAAATGTTCAGCGGAATATCTACAATCAGGTAATTGCCAATGAAATTGTCAAATCATATATTTTATCAGATTTTTTTTATTTATTTTTTTTACATCTGTCTACTTGTCTTTCTGTTGAGACATTATTTTTATAAGGCATTCGCAATGACTGACATTTACAAAAAGATCAAATGACATCCAGAATGGAGAACTTCTTCGCCTGTTTTTTCACGCACGGCTAATTGACTATTTTGCATTTTCTTGAATCTTTAAATGCTCCAAGAATGTGTGTCTTAACTTAAAGTTTAACTTAATGCAATGGGTTTTATTCAGAAAATAGTGAAATGTTGTGAATTTATGCCAATATGGCACAACTAAAAATACAGATATGTTCTTCTTGCAATTTTATCTTCAAATCACGATGATTCACTGTTTAATTAAAACTGTTTTGTCACCAAACACATTTTTGAAACATTTCATAATTATATAATTGCATTGAAATTCCAACACAGCTAAAATAAAACATTAGACAAATTAGGGACTATTTTGTCTTATGGTAAAGCCCCAAGTTGACAAAGCATAACAAATTGTTGAGCTTGTGCTGTGATGTTTTGTCAGATCCCACAGCCATCTAATGC